GAAAGGCGTGGTGGCTATGGTGGACCTCGTGGTCCTTTTCGTGGTGGTCGCCATGGCGATTACAGCAATGGAGAAGTGGGGGATGGGGAACGGGAACGGCCTCGTAATAGGGTATTTGAACGCCACAGTGGAACTGGTCGCGGGTAAAAATTTGTCGCACTGATTCGTTTTATTTGTATCTTCTGCCTTAGCATCTTTACTTATTCTCCACATATCATATATAATTTCTTTTGTTTATTTATTGGCTTACCATATGGATGTTTCAACTGTCTATTTCTCTGTACAGACACGAGTTTAAGCGTGATGGAGCTGGTCGAGGGAACTGGGGAACTGAAACTGATGAATTAGCTCAGTGAGTATTTTTATAGCACCTTTGCTATAGGATTTTTGAGATCGTTGGTATATACTTTTTCTGACACTTGGGTTTTTATGTGGGGTGACTACACATTTATATTTCCTTTATCACATTGTATTGTATAGGGTCAATGAGGAAGTTGTCAATGAAGATGAGAAAAAATTGGGTGCTGAGAAGCCCTCGGTTGAGGAAGATGCAACAGATGGCAACAAGGAGATTCCTGCAAAAGAAGCTGAAGAAAAGGAATCCGAGGATAAGGTGGATGTTTTCAACTATTGTACTAGATATACTCTTATGAATATGCTATCGCTTTTCATGGTTGTGGTCTTGAACACTAGATGGGTGTGTTTTCATAAACAAGTTGATAGCAGTTGGTGCTGCTTCTTCCTTAGCCAGTAGTTCTATCTCTTGTAGGTGGCAAAGGTAAATGGAACCTTCCATACAGCAGCCCCAGCTGGGGATATATTTGATAAGAAGACATAGTGTGTGTATGTTGTTTATGATCATNTTTGTTTAGTGGTGATATTAATCAATCACGGTGGGAGTCAAACCCACATTTGCTAGCTTTCTATTTTGATGACGTAATTATGTCAATTGATTATTTTGTGAGTGCAATAATGTTCAATATTTAATATCTTTCCTATTTAAAATATGTAAATGTTTATTATTTTGGTTGCATTTAAATATTTTAAATTTGTNACTTTTGAGCCAGCACAACGTCACTCGTGTCATATTAATTGGATAAAAAATTTATTCATGAGACTTTTTTTCCTTAAAAAAATTTATTGTGGTTTTGCTTGTGATTAATGGGATTTGGGTAAATGCGATCTGGTGCATGGAAACATTTCATTATATTGACCAAGTTTATAACTTTCTGGGCATTTTGTAATTTTAGTTGTATGCGGGCAAAATCTATGAATTTTGATTCTCTAGCATTGTCCTTTCTAGACTCAACATTCGAATGTTCATTGTTTCGTGATATTGCCTTGCAATCCCGTTCTTGTGTTCTCACACTGAAATAAATCCTTCCATGTATGAAGTAATTGACATATTTTTCCAACTTGAACCTTCTCTGTGTTGGCACCTGTAACTTGACACCTATGGTTTGTTGAATCACTGTTATGCCGCTATACGATCTTATCATGATAGGCTCTTAATATTTCCTAGGTTTTGTAACTTGTTTCTCCTATGGCAATTTTCTTTTAGATTAAAAAATAGCTTTGACCATCTCTCTCCTGTGTATCTTTTACTGGCGAAAATCAGCTACTGGATATTTGTCCCATCCTTCGTTTTTGTTGTATATGTCATGTTTTCATAAATACTTGTTTTTGACGAGAGATAGAGTCGGGAATGAGAGGAGCCCATAGTAATGTTGTTTGATTTAGGTCTTTGGAAAAGTAAAATTACTACAATGCCCTTACAAGAAAGAATTGTTTTGATGATTTGCGTTACAGATCTCCAGGTGTGCCAATGGGAGAGCTTGTGGCCCTTGTCAAGTAGTGCCCCATTTGTAGCTTCACCCGTTAGGGAGAGCATGCTGAAATTCAGAATTAAGCTCCTTATTTCATTTTTGGAATTCCTTGATATGGATTAAATATCCTGTCTTCTGCTGTTTCCTGCAATTGGGCATGAGAACTTTGTAGTGAGAACTTCAGCACTTCCAAAATGCTGACTTCTCTCCAAGAGCGGCATTAAATTTTTTATGATTTTGAAAACAATTTATTAGTGTTAAATATTTTTTTTTTTTATGATAAATGTGATTTTGGTCTCAACTCCTTTACAATTGAACTTTAGAACCTTTTTACGAGAGCTCTAGCAAATCCAAATGCTAAATGGTCTTNTCTGTTTAGTGGTGATATTAATCAATCACGGTGGGAGTCAAACCCACATTTGCTAGCTTTCTATTTTGATGACATAATTATGTCAATTGATTATTTTGTGAGTGCAATAATGTTCAATATTTAATATCTTTCCTATTTAAAANACCCCGTTCTTGTGTTCTCACACTGAAATAAATCCTTCCATGTATGAAGTAATTGACATATTTTTCCAACTTGAACCTTCTGTGTGTTGGCACCTGTAACTTGACACCTATGGTTTGTTGAATCACTGTTATGCCGCTATACGATCTTATCATGATAGGCTCTTAATATTTCCTAGGTTTTGTAACTTGTTTCTCCTATGGCAATTTTCTTTTAGATTAAAAAATAGCTTTGACCATCTCTCTCCTGTGTATCTTTTACTGGCGAAAATCAGCTACTGGATATTTGTCCCATCCTTCGTTTTTGTTGTATATGTCATGTTTTCATAAATACTTGTTTTTGACGAGAGATAGAGTCGGGAATGAGAGGAGCCCATAGTAATGTTGTTTGATTTAGGTCTTTGGAAAAGTAAAATTACTACAATGCCCTTACAAGAAAGAATTGTTTTGATGATTTGCGTTACAGATCTCCAGGTGTGCCAATGGGAGAGCTTGTGGCCCTTGTCAAGTAGTGCCCCATTTGTAGCTTCACCCGTTAGGGAGAGCATGCTGAAATTCAGAATTAAGCTCCTTATTTCATTTTTGGAATTCCTTGATATGGATTAAATATCCTGTCTTCTGCTGTTTCCTGCAATTGGGCATGAGAACTTTGTAGTGAGAACTTCAGCACTTCCAAAATGCTGACTTCTCTCCAAGAGCGGCATTAAATTTTTTATGATTTTGAAAACAATTTGTTAGTGTTAAATATTTTTTTTTTTTATGATAAATGTGATTTTGGTCTCAACTCCCTTTACAATTGAACTTTAGAACCTTTTTACGAGAGCTCTAGCAAATCCAAATGCTAAATGGTCTTCAATAAGCGTTAAATTTATAGTCTGAGCATACCAAGAATTTCAGGAAGAATAGTGTACTAACGACGTTATGATAATTCAGTTTTGTGAAAAGTTAGTCTAGCTGAGAAGTGAAGCGAAGCGAGCCTTGGTCACCTTGAACAGCCAAGGCGAACCGAGGTTTAAGTAAAGTAAGGAAAAAACGAGCCTACGCGATTAAAAAGTAAGCATATGCGACGAAGCGAGGCGAGAAACTTGCCAGACTGTAATTTTTTTTATTTTCTCCCCCTCCCCCTCCCCCTCCCCCC